AAAATAATGAACCTTCTCATCAAAATAAAAAAGAGGATAAGCACAAATATTTAGCAAATACTAAAACAACAGTAATGAAGGCGATACAATTAATAAACAAAATGAGCTTAGGAGATAACAATTCATAAACAAAATTAGCTCAACACAGAAAATTACATGGAACAAAGAAATCAGCAACACCATGAAAAAGTGACAACAATAAATTCATACTTGTTGATAATTACACTGAATGTCAATGGATTAAATGCACCACTCAAGGTTTGGTTAAGATAAGATCCTATAAGATAAGAAAATATGACCCATCAATATGCTGTCTACAAGAGGCTCACCTTAGACACAAAGACAAAAATAGAAAAAGTATCAAAAGTTGAAAAAAGATATACCAAGCAAATAGCAACCAAAACAGGGGAGCAGTGGCAATATTAATTTCTGATAAAATATACTTTAAGACAAAAATGACCAGAAGAGACAAAGAAGGACATTATGTAATGATTAAAGAATCAATTGAACAAGAGGACAGAACCATAATAAATATCTATGCACCCAATGGAAGAGCCCCATAATAAATAAAGCCGACTTTAATAGAATTGAAAAAAACAAATAGATGACTCCACAGTAATAGTACATGTCACAAGAGTGGGTGACATCACAACACAACAACAGATATAAAAATAATATCAGGACACTATGAAGAACTGTACTTCAATAAACGTGAAAACATAGAAGACATGGAAAGATTTCTAGAAACACACTACTTACCTAAACTAACACAGAATGAGGTAGAAAATCTGAATAGACTCATAACAAAAAAAGAAATTGAACAGGTCATAAAAAATTACCAACAAAAAAATGTCCTGGCACCGATGGTTTCACTGGAGAATTTTACAAATCATTCAGAGAAGAGCTGACACCAATCCTACTCAAACTACTTCAGAACACAGAAAAGAATAGAGTCCTCCCAAATGTATTTTATGAAGCAAGCATAACCTAACCTGATAACAAAACCAGGCAAAGACGCCACTAAGAAGGAAAACTACAGACCAGTATCTCTCATGAATATAGATGCAAAAATCTTCAATAAAATCTTAGCCAATAGACTCCAACAACATGTCACACACAAAAAACAAAAACAAAAAACAAAAACTAATACATCATGACCAAGTGGAATTCATACTATGTATGCAAGAATGGTTCAACACTAGAAAAACAATCAACATAATCATGTTTATAACTACAATAAAGGAAAGGAACCACATGATCATATCAACCAATGCAGAGAAGGCATTTGATAAAATCCAACACACATTCCTGATAAAAACTCTCAGAAAAATAAGAATGGAAATGCCTCAACATAACAAAGGGCATATGTGCAAAACCAACAGCCAACATTATTCTCAATGGAGAGAGATTGAAGTCATTCTCTTTGCGAACAACAATGAGACAAGGATGCCCCCTATCTCCACTTCTTTTCAACACTGTATTGGAAGTCCTTGCCCGGGCAAGAAGGCAAGAAAGGGAAATCAAAGACATCCAAATTGGTAAGGAAGAAGTAAAAGTATCCCTATTTGCTGATGATATCATCCTACACATAGAAAACCCAAGAAACTCAGCAAGAAAATTACTGGAACTTAATGAAAGATTTAGCACAGCTGCAGGATATAAGATCAACATACAAAAATCAGTTGGATTTGTCTACAACAGCAAAGAGGTCTCTGAGAAGGAAATAAGGAAATAAGTATCATTTACAATAGCTATCAAAAAGATAAGATATTTGGGGATAAATCTCACCAGGATCACAAAAGACATGTACAAAGAAAACTACAAAAACATTACTTCAATACACTATAACAGATGGAAGAGCATACAATGCTCATGGATAGGAAGATTGAACACTGCGAAAATGTCAATACTACCCAAATCAATCTATACATATTCAATGTAATCCCTATGCAGATTCCATCAGCATTCTTTAAAGACATGGAAAAAACCAATCACTGATTTTATATGGAAAGGAAAGAGACCTTGGATAAGCCAAACACTCTTGAAGAAGAACAAAGCAGGAGGTCTCACACTCCCAGATCTCAAAATCTACTATAAAGTCACAGTTGTCAAAACAGCCTGGTATTGGTTCAAAGACACGCAAACAGACCACTGGAAAAGAATTGAGAAACCAGAATTAGATCCATCTACCTATGGTCAGTTGATCTTTGACAAAGGGCTGAAATCTATTAACTGGGGAAGAGATAGTCTCTTCCACAAATGGTGCTGGCAAAACTGGATATCCGTTGCAGAAAACTGAAACAAGATCCATACTTCACACCATTCACAAAAATGAACTTCAAATGGATCAAAGACTTAAATGTGAAACCTAAAACTATAAAGTTCATCAAAGAAAAAATAGGGGCAAACATAGGGGCCCTAATTAATGGCATAAATAGACTATCAAGTGTAACCCAACATGCACAAACAGCAGAAGATAAACTACATGACTGAGAGATCTACAAAAAATTAAATTTTTTACGTGCATCAAGAGACTTCTCTAAAAGAGTAAAAAGAGAACCTACAGAATGAGAAAAAATATCCAGCGATGACACACCAGACAACGGACTTAACTCTAAAATTTATAGAAAACCCCAACACCTCAGTATCAAAAAGAAAAACAATCCAAATTGAAAAATGGGCAGAAGACATAAACAGACACTTCACCAAAGAAGATACTCAGCAGCCAACAACCACATGAAGAAATGTTCACGATCATTAGCCATTAGAGAAAAACAAATCAAAACAAACATGCAATGCCATGTTACCCCAGCATTAATAGCAAAGTTCAACAAGACAGAAAATAACAAATGCTTGTGAGGATGTAGAGAGATTGGGCCTCTCATGCACTGCTAGTGGCACCCTAAAATGATACCACTACTGTGGAAATTGGTATGGTGATTCCTTAAGAAGTTAGAGGTAGGAATACCATTTGACTCTCCAGTACCAATACTAGGTATATGTCCTACAGAAGTGAGAGGCAGGACACGAATAGATATATTCACAACCATGTTCGTCTCAGCACTAATCACAATAGCAAAGAGAAGGAAATAACCTAAGTGTCCATCAACCAAGGAATGGATAAACAAACTGTGGTACATACACATAATGGAATACTATGCAACCCTAAAAAGTAATGTAGAATCTGCAAAACACATAACATGGATGAACTTGGAGGACATAATGCTGAGTGAAGTAAGTTAATCACAGAAGGACAGATATTGTATTAGTCCACTATAGTAAAAAGTGAAAGAAAGATTGATACATAGAAGGAAATCTTCTTTGTTGGTTACCAGGGATGGGAGGGTAGGGAGAGAAAATTTCCAGATAGGTTGAAAAAAAGATATATCTATATATACCAAAGATTATTAGTGGTTAGTAGGGGTAGGGGAGGGGATAGAAGGAAGCTTTTGTTTGGGGAGCATTGAATTTATGCTAACTTGTGGTGGAATAATTTGGAAATAGATAGCAATAATTGTGGCACAACATATAAAATGTCATCAATGTCCCTGAGCTGTAAAGCTGTAAATGTGGAAGTTGTTATGTTGGAGAATGTCTTGTTGTATATGTTTTCACCACAATGAAATTAAACAAACAAAAAAGCTTAGAAAGATAAAAAGTACAAAATGGAAATTTTAGAAAAATAACCGTAATAAAAAGCTCAACAGATAAACTCAACAGCAGAGCATACACAACAGAGGAAAAAAGTCAGTGTACTTGAAGACAGAATGGGAGGAATTACCCAAAATAAATTTTTTTCTGACTTCCCCTTCCTTTCTTAAAGAACAGGAGTACACTTCCCATAAAATTATGCAAGAAGAAGGAATCATTATAGAATAAAATATAAAGTTATTATAGTAATAAATAATAATATTTCTACAAAAACTGAAATCACGTCAGACAGGTTCTTAAAGGAGATGAAAACTGTAATGAGGTATTTCAAGTTGAGCTAAGAGAAATGAAGAAAATAGTATGTTACTAAAGAATAATAAATCAGACTTAGAAAAACTAAAAAATGAGGGGACTGGAGAAAATAATTTTTTTCAAAAAAATTTTATAAGGAGACTAAACTGGAAGGAACACAAGAACAAATGAACTCAACGGATAATGATTTTAGAAAAAGTAAGATGAAAAGGGAAAAATATTTAAACACAAACATGATAAAAACAATCAAAAAAAGTCTTGTCAATGATAGACAAAGAAGATTAGCCATAGTAATATAGAAATAAATAAGGAAATGAAATCAAGAAACAGAACAAATATAATAGACTATAACTGTAAGAAAACTGAAATAAACAAAGACTTTGTACACGCTGTATAGTTGGGAAAATCAGTCCAGAATGGAAAGTCCTGAGATATACAGTAGTAAAACTCCTTAAATGTAAAGAAAAAGAAAAATATATTCTAAACATTCAGAGAATCATTGCGGAATACACCTTCTTATCAAATGCACATGAAACATCCACAAGATAGGCCATGCTGGGCCGTAAAATAAGATTCAGTGGAACTAAATTCAATAGATTTAAATTAAAACCTGGTAACAATAAAATACTTTAAAATCTCTAAATATTTGGTAATCTATATACACACAAATAATCTAGTTGAAAGAAAAAATCATAAAGGAAATGAGAATTTCAAGCTGAATGATAATAAAAATTGACATATCAAAATTTGTAAGATGTAAGTAAAGCTGCATTTACAGGGAAATTTATAGCTTTATAATTGCCTATTTTATGGATAAAATTATTTAAATTCAGTGACTTAACCTTCCAATTTAAAGAACTAGAAGAATAAATCTAAAGAAGTAGAGGAAATAATAATGATGATATCAAAAATTAATAAATAAGTCAAACAATGGAGAAGATAAATAAATCCAAAAGTTGATTAAAAATTTTAAATATTCATAAATCTGGCAAGCGTATACCTCAAGAGTTTATATACAACAACAATAAAAACCTTACCTTGGCCAACTGCATAATTTTACCAAAACGAGGCTTCCAAGAGGGAGCTGTGAATAGACAATCTTAAATCCACTTTGATGAAGCTGAGATTCTTCAGGAAAGTCTTCCTCAGAAATAGAGCATCTATTGTATCTTGGATCAGTGTTCATGAAGCAGTACCATGGTTCATTGTGATCAACTTTATCTGCATCCTCACTTGACAACAACCTCCATTTCAAACAATTTTCATTCTCACATTGAATCCACACTTTGTTTACAAACATGTTGTTTTCTACTAAGGAATCCACTGTAGTTTTACAATATTCTACAATTATCTCACCACCCAAGTTTTCTTTCTCCATAACTGATTTTAATCTGGAAAATACATAAAAGAAGGAAAAATAAAAGAATAAGAATCTAAGATATAAGGAGAGACAATTCAACCCCTATTCAGAGCAATACCTTTTTGATACTATCTTGGCCCATACCCTCTCTATCCTACAAAGATTATCCATGCTGAAAATATTCCCCAGAAATATTCCCCAGAAACAAAAGAGCAAAACAAAAGCATCAGTCCTTTTGGACATAAAATGCTCTGAAATTAAAAATAAGAAAAGTATGATGGAGCAGAAGAGTAGTAACATTTGTCTACATAATTCCTATTAACTCACTGCATAGCACACAGCTGGTAGATGACTAGTGTATTTTTGTCATAATAACAACTAAGTCTTACTACATGCTAAATACACACCAAGTATTACTCTACATGTTTTATGCACAGCTTGTATAGTTTTCCCAGGAACATTATCATGTCCAAGTTTACAAAAAAAAATTAAAGCTAAGAGAGATAAAATAATTTACTTAAAGTCCCAGAGTTAGTAGGTGGTAGATTTGAATGCAGGCAGTTTCATTTAAAATTATGTGATCTTATCCCCTAGGCAGTATTAGATCCCTTTCTTTTTCTAAAAGAAAAATATCTCCTGGTGGCAGTTTGGAACAACTAAGGGAGGCCAGGATATGAAAAGGCAATGGTTTGGAACAACTAAGGAAGGCCAGGAAGTGAGCCAGTGGCAGTTTGGAATAGTTAAGGGAGACCATGAAGCGAGCTGGTGGGGTTTGGAACAGCTAAGGGAGACCAGGAAGTAAGAGGAATGGTTTGGAGGAGCTAAGGGAAATGAACTTGTCTATCAGTTTGTTGTACTGTGGTGGTTTACATGTTGCTGTGAGGCTCGAGGCTATGGCACTGGTGTTTCAAATGACAGCAGGGTTACCTACAGTGGACAGTTTTCAGTGGAGCTTCCAGAATAAGACAGACTGGGAAGAAGGAAGAGGCCATCCACTTTTCAAAGAATTGGACAGTGAAAACCTTATGAACAGCAATGAAACACTGTCTGATATATTTTGGAAAACTTTATGAATAGCTCTAAAACAGTGTCCAGTACAGTGACGGAAGATGAGCCCATCAGAATGGAGGGCACTCACGATACAAATGGGGAAGAGCTGCCTCCTCAGAGCCAACCTTAATGATGTGGATAGAATAAAGACTTTGGGACCTCCATTGCTGATGTGGCATGACTCGAAAATGGGAAGAAACAGCTGCAAACATCCATTAATAACTGGAACATGGAATGTATGAAGTACAAATCTAGGAAAATTGGAAGTTATCCTAGGCATTAGTGAGTTGAAATGGACTGGTTTTGGCCATTTTGAATCAGACAACCATATAATCTACTATGCTGGGAATGACAAATTGAAGAGGAATGGTGTGGCATTCATCATCACAAAGAATGTTTCAAGATCTATGCTAAAGTACAATGCTGTCAACCAAAAACCAAAAAACTGAACTCACTGCTGTTGAGTTGTATCTGACTTACAGAAACTCCTCCTTGGGTTTCTGAGGTGATATCTCTACGGAAGTAGATTGCCCCATCTACCTTTCAAGGAGTGGCTGGTGGGTTTGAATCACTAACATTCTGGTTAGCGGCCTTAGGCATTATGCCACCAGAGCTCCCACAATGCTATCAGTGATAGGATAATATCCATACACCTACAGGTTGTGGTAGTTCCATTTGTGTGTCACCTTGGCTAGGCATGGTTGAGTCTGGGCAGCTGGATGTATTATTCCCCACGATGAGACTGGTAATCAACTCCATGGTGGAATCTACTGTGAGCAGCTGAGTAGCAGCCCTAGGGATGTGGTCTGCTTCCTGTATATAAGGAGAAGCCTTGGGGAATGGTTTCTAGCTTATGGCACACTTGGATCTTGCATGTAGCCATATCATTGTTCAGCAGCCTGCCATGCTCTGCCAACCTTGGGACTTCCAATGGACTTGAATGAATGGCCTGCCATGTGGTTTGGTAACATCAGGACTCCCATTTTATTTGTCATGCTTGGGCTTGTCAGCCTCAGCAGCCAGTAGCTGCCTGAGTGAAGAGATGGCTCTAGCTTCAGTGGGCTGGGAGCAAGAGGCAGAGCTGAAGCCCAAGGTCAAGGGGCTTTCACATAGCTTCTAGAGGCTGGCACTTTGAACTTGGACTTAAAGCCTCCAAACTATGAGAGAATAAACTCTAGTTTGTTAAGGTGATCCCATTTGTGGTTTAATTCTTGTCAGAGGGGCACTAGGTAACCAGAACAGAATATGGTACCAAGAATGGGGTGCTACTCTGACAGAAACCAAAATGTAGAAACAGGAGCGGAGTGCATCCTTGACCCAAGACCCTGGCAGAGAGACCCCAGCATGTGGCATGAGAGACAGCAAAGCCAGCCAAGAGACCAGCATAAGACATAGCAGGAGCAGAGCCGAGAGACCAGCATGAGAGATAGCAGTAGCAGAGCTCAGAGACCAGCATTAAACAGCAACAGGCTTACTAGCCCACAGAGTAGAAAGCCAGGTACCATTGGGTAGGTGGCTTCTGGCAGAGTGGGTTGCCTTCAGGTGTTAATTGGTAGAAGAGAACTGCAGGAAATGGAGTAGCAGGTTGGCCGGCCCATGAGTAAGAAAGCTGAGTGTTTTAGGGGCAGGAAGATTTCCTGCAGAATGGGATGCCCTCAGCATTAATCAGCAGAAGCAGAGAGACCAAGGAAATGGGAAGCAGAGCTGCCTCAACCTTAAGGGTAGGATCATGGCTTTTGGGGATGGAACCACCACAGTCCCCTAGGTTTCAAAGAGCCAGACCGTCACCAACTTGGCTCTGGAGTGTGGAGCTGCTCATTCATGTGAGCTACTGGGATGGCGTCACAGCTGCTGCCCAAGAGTGAAGAGGCAGGGCTGCCATGCCGAAGCAGGAGAGGAACGGGGCCTGCCAGGCCAAGGGGGTGAGGTCGCCACTCAGAGGAACTAGGGGACTGGAGTCACCCAATGAGAGAGATCTATACAGGTGCCAAGTTGACAAGGGGTAGAATTGTGGTAGTTACATTTGTGCATCAACTTGGCTAGGCCTGGTTGAGTGGTTGGGCAGCTGGATGTAGTATTCCCCACGACGAGACTGGTAATCAACTCCATGGTAGAATCTACTGTGAGCAGCTGAGTAGCTGCCCTAGGGATGTGGTCTGCTTCCTGTATATAAGGAGAAGCCTTGGGGAATGGTCTCTAGCTTATGGCACACTTGGACCCTGCATGTAGCCATGTCATTGTTCAGCAGCTTGCCATGCTCTGCCAACCTTGCGTCTTCCAATGGACTTGAATGGCCTGCCATGTGGTTTGGTAACATCGGGCCTATGCCATTTTATTCATCAGCCTTGGGCTTGTTAGCCTCAGAAGCCAGTAGCTGCCTGAGTGAAGAGATGCCTCTAGCTTCAGTGGGATCAAGAGGCAGAGCTGAAGCCCAAGGTCAAGGGCCTTTCACATAGCCCCTAGAGCCTGGCACTTTGAACTTGGACTTAAGCCTCCAAACTATGAGAGAATAAACTCCTGTTTGTTAAGCCAGTGTTCTGGTTACCTAGTGCCGCTCTGACAAGAAATATACCAAGAAAGGGATGGCCTTAACAAACAGGAGTTTATTCTTACAATTTGGAGGCTTTAAGTCTAAGTGCAAAGTGCCAGACTCCAGGGGCTGGGTGAAAGCCCCTCAACTTTGGGATCTAGCTCTGCCTCCTGCTCTTGGCCCACTGGAGCTAGAGGCATTTCTTCACTCAGACAGCTGCTAGCTGCTGAAGCTGAGAAGCCCCAAGGTTGACAAGGAAAAAGGCACAGTCCCAACGTTACCAAACCATACGACAGGCCATTAACTTAAGTCCATTGTAAGTCCCGGTCGGCAGAGCATAGCAGGCTGCTGAGCAATGACACAGCTACATGCAGGATCCAAACGTGCCAAAGGCTAGAGACCATTCCCAGTCTTCTCCTTATATATAGGAAGCAGACCATATCCCAAAGGCAGCTACTCAGCTGCTTGTGATAGATCCCACCATGGAGTTGATTGCCAGTCTCATCATGGGAATAACTACCACCAGCTGCCCAGCCACTCAACCAAGCCCAGCCAAGTTGACACAAAAACATAACCACCACAACCAGTTAATACGACTATTACTGAAATTTACACAGCAACCACCAAAGCCAAAGATAAGGAGATTAAAGAGTTTTATCAACTTTTGCAGTCTGAAATTGACCTAATATGCAATCAAGATGTGCTAATTATCACTGATGATTGGAATGCAAAAGTTGGAAACAAAGAGGAAATCACCAGCAGTTGGAAAATAAGGCCTTAGTGATAGAAATAACACTGGAGATCGCATGATAGAATTTTGCAAGAGCAATGACTTATTCATTGCAAATATGTTTTTTCAACAACACAAATGGTAGCTATACAATGGACTTGCCAGATGGAGTACACAGGAATCAGCTTGACTACATCTGTGGCAACAGGCGATGGAGAAGCTCACAGTATCTTCAGCCAAAACAAGGCCATGAGCTGATTGTGGAACAGACCATCAACTGCTCATATGCAAGTTCAACTTGAAGGTGAAGATAATTAAAAGAAGTCCACAAGAGCCAAAATATGACCTTGAATATATCCCTCATGAATTTAGAGGCCATCTAAAAAATAGATTTGATGCACTGAACAGCAGTGATCGAAAACTAGAGGAATTGTGGGATGACATCAAGACATCATCCATGAAGAAAGTAAAAGGTCATTAAAAAGACAGAAAAGGAAGAAAGGACCAAAATGGATATCAGAAGAGACTCTGAAACTTGCCCTTGAACGGAGAGGAGCTAAAGCAACTGGAAGAAATGATAAGATAAAAGAGCTGAAGATTTCAAAGAGCAACTCAAGAAGACAAAGTCAAATATTATAATGAAATGTACAAAGACCTGGAGTTACAAAGTCAAAAGGGAAGAACATGTTCGGCATTTATGAAGCTGAA